ACACACACACACACACACACACACACACACACACACACACACACACAAAAAAGACACAAATGCTAACCTATACAAACACACGACCCTCTATGTGTCCTGACAGAGGGTATTCTTAAGCTGTGGTGAATATCTGACTGTGTGTGCCACACTGCATCTTTGTGTGTGTGTGTGTGTGTGTGTGTGTGTGTGTGTGTAAGGATGTCGTAAAGTCAATGAGGATAATGGCTGGCCTTACGGTTTAATGAGTGTCTCATTGGCTCACATTTATGTTGTCTGTGTCAATGTGCTGGGACAAAGTGAAGGCTAGTTTCCACATACATAGACAGGTTACACATTTTAGGAAAAACCTGAATAAATGAGAAACAGAGCAAAAGCCAGGGATGAATGGTTTGATGAGTGCAGATCTGTCTATCTATACAGAATATATCTGTATCATTTTGATTTACCTGGAGGACAGGCCATGCTAATGTACAGCTGGCTTGTGTTGGGACCTGCTTCTAATGTGCCGATGGCAAACAGACCCAGAGCGGTCACAATGATAGAGACAGAGGATATAGGCAGCGAGGTATAGGGACTGTGAGTGAGGGAATGTGACTATTGGGGTAGGGAGTGTGTTGTTAAATGTTACAGCCGTCCGTCTCTGCCTCAGAGATGGAGCGGTTTAAGATGTCAAGGCTGTAAGCAGGAGCTCATGCAACAAGGACAGGCTGGTGTTGACATGTGTACCTCTGGACAGAAGCAAAACCAAATAAGCAGACACTTATTACTGACTCCACGGACGTGCTGCTCGCCCCGCTTGTTATCCATGCTGTGTGGTTTCAGGTGGACACTGGCTTTGTTCCTCTATACTGCAGTATCTGACAAACAATTATTACTGAAACAAGTAGAAATAGGTGAACACCGCGGCGAGTTAACGACTTGTCGTGTCTCTGACATCGGTTGAAGTCAATTAACTTGAGCTTAGCTTGGAATTACGCAAAGTGGAAGGTGTCTCACTCAGCCAGAGCCGTGAAAAACTGCTGCTCAGAGGGGGGTTGAAATGTGGTCATAACACGGTAGGAACATACAGACGAGCTCTCGTGTAATAAAGGCTTAACCTGTCAGCGCAGACTCAACCATGCACATAATCCTGTCTGTAAGGCAGATCCTAGATCAGGGGCAACACATGTGAAATGCGGAGCAATTTGCACCGGAGTTCACACACACACACACACACACACACACACACACACACACACACACAGAGAGCAACATCATCTTCGGCATTATTAGCCATAATATTGGCATTGACAACAAGCAGCACGTTCCTCAAGCTTCTGCTAGTCAGAAATTGATAGTCTACCAACATCAGAGCTACCACGGGGACTTTACAAAGTCTCAACAATGCAATCTGCCGCACATCTGTCTGTGTTGCGCATGCTTGCATGTGTGTACATACTTGTGTGCGTGTGTGTGTGTGTGTGAGTGTGTGTGTGTGCTACTGTCTGAGCCACCCTGAATCCTCCTAAGTCACAACAACAACATTCCTCATCATCGCCCCAACCGCGGCCACACCACCAGGAGGAAACCCGGAGAGGCGAGGGGGAGGAGGGCAGAGGTGGTGAGGAGAGGGACAAAGAAAGAGGGGAGAGAAGGAAGGCTAAAGTTTAAAGCTCTGAAGATCCTCTGGCTTTCGCATACCAGATGGACCCGAGCAGAATCATGCCTTGCTGTTATCCAGACAGTCTTTTGGACTCTCCGACAGAATGAATGCAACAAAACGTTGAAAGGACTGCATCGGACAAATAGTCGGATATTATCGTACATAAGAAAACCTCGTTAATCTTAGACACACTAAACTTAACTCAGTAAAGAAAGAAAAACATCACACGTTATCTCCCAAAGCCTTAATAAAGTACAAGACTACTTACTTCCACTCCAGTTAACAAATCGGACAGTAAAATCACTTTATTTACTGGGTCTCTTTCACCCTGTCTCTCTCGTTCTTCCCCCTCTTTCTTTCTGTCTTCAACTTTCTTCCTCTCTCTCAGTTACTCCCCCCTCTGTCAGACGCATGAAAACACTCACTTAGTCACACACACACACACACACACACACACACATACACACACACACACACACACACACACACACACACACAAACTAAAGTACACACTCCCACAGACAGAGTCACCCTCTCACACACTCTCGCCTCCCGCGACCCGGAATGCCTGGCAAGATCCGACTGTACTGAAATACTGCGCTCACCATATAAGGTAGCAGCAGCCTCACATGTCACACGTAATTTACATGCAGCGGGGCGGGAGTTTGCCTTGCACGGCGCGCACACACACACACACACACACGCAAAACCATGCTTCCCCCCTTTTACACTGACGCAGCAAGGGAGGGAAGAGTGATCCAAGAGAATCACATTCTACCATCCTCCTTGTTAACCGAGCCCTGCAGGATAACTCCTAACATGTCCAACGTTGAGTCAGACGGAGGGAATGAAAGCTGAGTGGGCGATCTATTGATCCTCTTCGCTGCTTCCTGGAACAACTGTGGCCCTCCAAACACACACACACACACACACACACACACACAAACGCGTGCGCACGCACACCAGCAAAATTCTCCTGTTAACCAGCGCTACCCTCAGGAAGTAGCTATTGTGTGACAGTCTGCTTTGAGCCAAGAATGTGCCTTGCTGTGTGCCTGTGTTTGTACGTGCATGTGTGTGTGTGTGTGTGCATGTATCTATAAAACAAGCCGTAACAAATCGAGGTTAACCCTGTGGCCCACATACTGAACACACAGACACACAGCAGACACTAAAGCAAACAATCCCCATATCTCTACCTATGTTCTAATGCACAGGCGCTTACTTTGGGAAGTAAAGACTGCAGCACACACAGGAAAGGAAAGATCTAGATAAACCAATGAGACAAGGAGGGTTATGAACCAAGCTCTTACCTCTCACATTGCTCTCCAGTTTGTGTGTGTGTGTGTGTGTGTGTTTGCTTCCGCGTGTCGATTGACTCTGTGTTTATGCGTGTGTTCAGACAGGCCGCGACAGCAGACCCCCAGGCACCGGCTGGACCATTCTCAGGCAGGCAGGCAGAGCGCAACAAGGCAGAGCGACTGGCAGAAAACAGGCAAAGCGAGTGAATCGGCAGCGAATGAGTAGAGGAGCTGTGTGGAGCCGAGCACCACAGGGAGAGAGCGAGAGGGAGAGAGAGAGAGAGAGAGGAGGAGTGTTTGCCTGTGTGATTTTGTCTGTGTGTGTGTGTGTGTGTGTACGTTGCAGCATTGGCTGTGTGCGCTAGTGTCTCCCCTCCCCTGCCTCCTGAAGTGGCTGTACTGAGCTGCGCTGAGACGGGCTGGGCTGTGTCTCTACTGACTCACCAGCCTCTGGATCGTCCGTCTGCTGCCCGAGGAAAGTGGTGCTCGCTGGGTGGCAGTAGCAACAGCTGTGGTGGTGGAGGAGGAGGAGGAGGAGGCGGAAGAAGAAGAAGAGGAGGAGGGAGCCCTGACTGCACTGGGCACACACAGATCCTGCAGTCCCCTCTCCCTCCCTCTCTTCCTCGCTGAAGGCTGGCCACGCCCCCCTAAAACAACATCAGGAAGTGCTGGTTCAGTTACAGCAACACTGCCCTTGCTTATCCAGTGAATACTGAGGCAGGAGAGACAGGGGAGAGGGAGGGAGGAAGGAAAAATGTTGGGAGAGCGTAGCAAGAATGTAAAGAAAGAGAAAAGAAGGGACATGAGTAACAGAATAAACATGGAAGCAAGGAAATGCCATGCAGATTGAGGAAGGGAATCAGACATGAAAGCTGGCATAGTGATGTTAAATACTGCCAAGAGAGGAAAGAATGAGACAGGAACAAAGGATTTAATGAGGTAATGATGAGTAAGGAGAAAAACAGCAGCTCGATAGAATGAATGGATTCATTCGTGTGGAGGAAAGAATTATGGACAGACATTTACAGGGAGTCTGGCTTCTGTCAGGATCCCCTCTTCTGCTGTGGCAAGCAAACCCTCACACACCTATACGCTCAGCCACACACTCCCACAGCTCTTGCCCACACACTAAAAAAAATAAAACAGGACACACTACGGTAGTAAAGTGGCTGTACATTCAGAATAACACAAAGTGTGAGGATAATCTGGAAATGGCTATTCAATAACATGCAGCCGGTGCAGTTTGGTTGCAGGTAAGCAAAAAAAAAAGGCTAAACGAGACCAAATTGAGGCCACTGCTGCTGCCAGCCTTCCTGTATTGCAGTTGACTCGAGGCGTCTGCCACCGAGACCTTTGCATCGATGGCAAAGCCAGAGAGGCTGAAGGAGCCTCCAAGAATTTGATCTGGACCTGATGCTGCAATATCCGGTAGCCATGGAGATAGCGGCCTTGGCGTCTGCAGGAATCTTTACAGATCTTGAGCTGCGCGCTGACGCCAAGTTCTCCGTCTGATTCCGTGTGTTGTCCGTGACTCACTTCATTTGACTGTGATGAAGGAGAAACTGCTTTGTGCACAATGCTGCCTCAATCTGAAAAGAAAAGCTTTGAAATGTCTTTTCATTGACAAAGAGAGAACATTCCTCACGCTCACACCAGAACCCTGTTTGCTTAATACTGAGAAAAACTAAAAGTTATATCCCATTGCTTCTCCTGTGTACGAATGTCACGCCAGTCTTCTTGTTGCACCCCTTCCTTCTCTCTCAGTGTTGCACAGCTGTTTAATATAAAGCTGGTGATAAGTTATCTCTAATTTACACAGCGGGTCCTTAAACCCCAGGTGACAATCTGTGGTGGAGCCCCATCAGCTGCAGCGCTAACCCTTTAGCCAATATTCTGGTGCAACGTGTACTCAGAGTGAACATAAAAACACACCGTATACCCCAGGCGTGACGAAGTCATAGGGTGCCATAGTACTATTTTGCCATTGTTAGCCACAACAGCAAAGTGCATGCCGGCATCTATTTCCAACTGTCACTCGTTAGCGATGGGAGGAGATCTATTTCCCTACTGGAACACGTACAGTGTGTCTTTTAGATTAGCAGACCAATCGGTCTGACTGCTGATCAATGGAAGCGGCGGGTCACTCCGCCTGGAGTTCTCCTTGACCCATAATGAAGAAACACGGTGATTGATGTCGTTGTGGCTCAATAGGAGACACGTTAGCAACGCCTCTAAAAGATCTTTCTGCGAAACTCAGACACTGGCGTGGAATTTCCCCTCTGCAAGCTGAGTGTACGCCAGAGCTTCTGCTCCTTTCTGTCTCTGCGTCTCTCTTTTACTGCCCCGATGGTCCATATTTCCTATTCATTGTCATCCTTCGTACACTATGTCCTCTATCAGTCTGTGTTTTCATCACCCTGTCTCACTGAAGTCCACTAAATTTCCCCTGAACAACCGCAGCCATTCGTCTATTTGTCACAACCAGCAGATCCATATTCCCCCGGTCCAGTCAGAGGTATGAACACAAAGCCAGCGTTGCAGTTTCCAGATGGTTTGCTCATCAACTTTTATTTGGCATATAATCGGATCAGATGTTTGACGGACAGTCAAACATCTGTTTCTCCTTTTCGAGTTATTTTCTTTTCTTTGAAGTGAAGTCATACGTTTGAGCGTGTGTCTCACAGATAAGAGGATGGTGTGACCGTTGTTCTCTGTAGGAGATTAATGAGGCTGTAGGGCTGTAGAGGTATGAGCAAAGCACAACAGGAATCAACACCCTGGGGTTGAGTCAACTCACATACACAACCAACTGAAAACAGGAAGAGGTGTGTACGTGGTGGAGTTAAAGGGGAATTCCACCGAATTCATATATCAAGATCAGTGAACTAGTCATGGGGGGGGCGGGGGGGGGGGACTTCTGAGAAAGAAACCCTTATAAACTTATCAATTTGCATTATGGTCATTTATAGATTTTCGGTTGCATCTGTCTTTTGTGCAAATTTTGCAACAAACTTAAGTGAGGCTTTGTATTGCTAAAGAGTAGATTAGAAGAGCAATGTTATGATATTCCACAAACTCCCTCACACTCTTATTCTGCATGGATCACATGAACCCTGAACCAACACAGTCTGGCATGGGTGACCAGATCCTAACTCCTCACCTTCTCCGACCCTTATTTTCTCTCTCCCTCCTCCCTGATGAATGCGACTTTCCACCTTTAAGCCATCGTCTCAGCGCTCTGCTATTTCCCGGCCCTCTGCAAATGTGACTGGCTGGCTGACGCGAACTCTCACTCCGCCGAGGAAATGTCCCAGAGCTTTCCGTGCGCCAAACTCTTGACGGCTCATCTGTCACTAAGGCCGCAAATACACATTACACTCCCATTACAGACCATCACAGCAACAAGTGCAGCAGCACGCGGTCTTGGCGGAAAAAAGGCCCACAGCTAAGGAGCTGCGTTCAACGTCTGCCATTTCCCCCCATAGGTCATGTTCGAGGTAATTTCTACACTTAAAGCAACTTCTGCTCATGTGTTGCTTTAGAATGTGCGGGCAGTATCCCACACAGTCAAATGTTAGAAACCTGTACATGAGAATGGTACATGTGTGTATGCTCACAATAACTAATTTTCTAGTGAGCACCATGCTGCGTACTTGTGGTTTACTCTTAACTTCCCTCCACTTTGACGCAGTGAGGGGAAGCAGGTGCAGTTCAAGCTGTCGGGTTTGAAACAGAGAGAGGAAATAGCACAGTCTTGTCCCCATCTGACACCATTGTGAGTATGAGTGTGTGTGTGTTCAAGCTTGAAGCTTATCTTGGAGATAAAATGAAAACGAATGGAAACACCCTTTTGCAAAGAGGCTTTCCAATTCAGCTTCAAGCTATTTTTCTGTCTAAATGTAGCCTGCAGATATACTGCTGCGAATATCCAATAAACTCTCCGTACATCCCAAACTTCTTACAAAATGGATATCTCTTTGCGAATTTCTATAAAAAAGAAAAATACTGTAAATGTTGGCTTTCCTAAAACTGACACACTTACGTCTTTGCAGAATATCAGAGTAAATGTAGTTTGTTGAAAAAAAGGGACTCGTAACGAAAAGTCTTATACAACAAATCTATATGAAAACAATAAAGTAATTTAAAGTTGTCAACAGAAATTGATGCTTACCTGTTTGTCTGTCTATCGCTGACACGGCACTGGGACAGACTGAGTCACTTCAAAACAGGTCACACTAACGCAATGCACCATGGGATGCACTAACATCTTCATGTCTCTGCTCCTCTCACTCATACCACTCTCTCCCTCTCGTAATAGCACCTTCTGCTTGGCAACGGCCATACCACAAGTGTGGTCAGGTTTACAACGAACCATCACTGCGCAACATCAAGTCTCCATGACAACCACTCTTATCTCATTTGCATCTTCTGCTTGCAAATTTGGCATGCATTATCTACTGATGCCAAATATGGTCACCTTGTTATTCCCCGCGTCTCTCTGCATCCCCTTTTTATAACTTCCTCTTCACCCCCCCCCCTGCCCCATTTACACAACTGTGTGCACTTTGCTTCTAACGTATAGTCGCGCGCACACACACACGCACACACACACACACACACACACACACACACACACACACACACACACACACACACACACACACACACGGACGCAGCCTGTGAGTGTGTGTAAAGAGGAAGTGCCATTAAGTTTGCAGCCTGAGAGATAAGCAGTGAAACAGCTTTTAGAATCAGGAAGTGGGGGGTGCTGCAAAGGCTGCTTTCAACAGAAATGAGACTTGCAGCACACTATCACAATCCTCCCGTGGACTTCACTTCCCCCCCACCCACCCGGTACGTCTTCTGTGAAGTCGGTGCGGGCATTTGGCCTCCTCCTCCTCCTCCCCCCCAAAAGGACAGTGTCTATCAAACCATCACTGGAATGTTGAACCAGGCCCCTGAAGCCCACACATACAGCAACACTCAGCAGCACTCAGCACCTGTCTCCCGACTGCCAGCACAGAGAAAGAGACGAGCTCTATCACGCTGGACAGCACAGCAGAGAGGAGAGACCAGAGAGGAGAGTGGGAGGCTAACCAGCATTTCATCAGCAGAAAAAAACACAACATACTGAGCAGGCTGCATGTAATGTGCAACACGCCACATGATGGCTAACGCGCTGAATTTGCTGAAATTAATACATCATTATTAAATCAATTATGAAACCGTAGCATGTTTACCATAAACAAATAAGGTCAAGACAAGTTGCAGCCTCCGTCTCTTTTTCAAATATGAGATCACATATTTCAACGATTCTGCGTGTTGCATGTCGCAAACATAATCGTACTACAGACTTGAAGCTTCAAATACCAATACACTGGATATAAGATGACGTCATCTTCGAAGATTAATTAGACAATTTCAGAGGCATTTCGGTGACTTTTTATGCATTCAAAAAAAAGAATTAAAATGTGGTTCAAAAAGGGCATCTGCACTATTTAGCAACATGTCACCATTAAGTTTGATACCATCAAGCAGTGATTCCCAACCCAGGGGTTTGGACCCCCTATGTGGTCCTAATACATATCTGAAGGGTCACAAGATGATTAAAAGATCTTGAAAAAAAAAAAGACATTTCTGTTATAATGGATAACAAAGCCTCTGTTACTTTCCACAAGGACTCCATGCGGGTTTCTCCTCTCAGAAAACTGACCTTCTCAAAGCTCCTCAAAGTTTAGTATTTTCTCCACTTATCGGCGTGGATGTGCACGGACAGGCACCCCCGGGACGGGCCGTGTCCGATGGGGTAACGTCACTTTGGCCGGCATAAATCACGCTTTATACCCCTTCAGGCTTCTAAAAATCTCTACAAGGAAATCATTTATCCTCAGTTGATCGGCCAATAATGTGAGTCCACACTGAGGACATAGCCTCATTTTAAGGGGTCAAAAAACAAAAAGGTTGGGACTCCTGCCATACAGCAATATAGCAAATATTATTATACAACAGAGCATATTGTGTTGTTTGTTGACGGTAATTATAACTAAAGTTTATCTGGTGATGATTTATTGGTATTAAAATGCTTAACCTTTAATGTTACCCGTGTTTTTTTTCCCATTTACTCAGATTTTTACCCGGAGATGCAACCTCTGTCATCTCGAGCCGAGCCACATCGTCTCTCCATCTGGCACGTTGACCTACCCAGGCAGTGTCTAGAGAAGCTCTGAGGAGGCATCACAGTCTCTCCTCCTCTGGGCTGCGGAGCTGCTGAGACGCTGGGGATTGGAAGTCAATGAAACCAGGCCTAATTTAGCCTCCGCTGGAATCAGAGTGAGACTCCTTCCCTTTTTAGGGCTCCCTGGACTCTGCAGTCTGCGAGTGTCACTACAGCATTATAGCTACACTCAGGACCTGGAGAGACAGAGAGAGGTGACAGTCAAACCTTTGTTGTATGGACGCTCCATTTGAATTATTACCTCTGGTCTAAAAGTCAAAACATGCACTGTGGGAACTATTCCAATGTCATCATTTGATTGTTATTGATGTTATTCACATCAGTCAGTTTGGACACTTTTACAATCGTCTTATCTTTACACCACTTTCAGTAGATGCATGTGCAGCTTGCTCCTGTAAATGACTGACACACATTGCTCACCGTCACAACAGTGTGATTAGGTGTGTGAATAACTTTGGTGGGTGACTAACTAACACTGTCCACTCAGCCAGGGCGTGACACCGTGTAGTCTTTAATAACCCCGGTCTGCACTGAAACGAGATGCTGCCAGCCAGGAAGTGGTTGTTTTTTCTCCATCCTGATCTGGCTGATTTTCATGTGATAGCTAGAGATAGATAGAGATAGAGATAGAGATAGAGATAGAGTATACACTATAATATTCTATTTTAGTAGGTTTAAGAAATGAATTGATTTCCTAGCAATTTGTTGGTAAACCTGCAACTAAAAGAACATGACTTGAATTACCTTTCTTAGAAAATAAAATTAAAATTCAACATGTTATTGTGTTTTCTTAAAAGACTAAGAGGTAAAAACAGGCAAGTGGAGGCAGCAGTACTCATGAAAATGATGGACACATTGCTATATATTTACCGTGGCAGTCCATGTATTTAAAATAAATGGATTAGAAGAGGATTACTCATAGAGCCTCCACTCCCTGCCCATCCTTTTTTTTTTTTCTACTTGTGATATGACTACATAGACTACATATAGAAGACAGTGATCACATAAGCCATGGTATACAATACACAATAGGATTATCTATGCTGGAGAGACAGTCTCATCTTCGCCTCCCACCGTCTGTGGGGAGCGCATAAATACATGGCTGCCAAAGTGTGTGGAATAACCCCGGCAAAAGAGAAAAAAAAAAAAAAAAAGCGATTCAAACTGACGCTATCCCATTAGTCTACTCAAGGCCCCTGCCTGACCAGCCCGCATAACGAGGAGATAAAAGCTACTGGGGCAATAGCCATTAGTAACTGTTTTTATAAAGAGAATTATTCATGTCTCTTGTGTCACGGACGACTATTAATTCAATGACCCCCCCTTGCAGGAATTGCATATTAAAGCTTTTAGAGAAACTGTAGTGTTGGAGTAAGTCGTTGGCTGGAAGTCAGCCCCTTAATCTAAGATGCTTGTTATCCTGCCTCCTCCAGCCCTCTCACCTCCATGGAGAGAGCAGCTCCATTTGTGAGAATGATGAGGTCAGTATAAGCGTCATCCCCTAAACCTGAAGCACATTAAGATAACAGCCAGTGGTACAGAAGTAAATAAATACTAATACATATAAAACTCATCAGTAGTGTGTTGTTTTAAACCATGTTAAGTATTGTATTAGTCACCTGCTCTGGTAAATATCTCTTTTAATAGTTATGGTTTT